CGGGGGCTGGTCTGTGTGGGGTCCCTGGGTCTGTGTGGAGGTCCCTGGGTCTGTGTGGGGGTCCCTGGCTCAGAACGCTGCCGGGGGCTGGTCTGTGTGGGGTCCCTGGGTCTCTGTTGGGGTCCCTGGGTCTGTGTTGGGGTCCCTGGGTCTGTGTGGGGGTCCCTGGGTCTGTGTTGGGGTCCCTGGGTCTGTGTTGGGGTCCCTGGCTCAGAACGCCCCCAGCTCCCGCAGGGCGGGCTCGGCGCCGCCGCCCAGGCGCAGCACGTGGATGCCGGAGCTGGCGCTGGCACAGAGCAGGGTGGAGCTGTCGCAGGCGGCCAGCGAGGCCAGCGGGCCAGAGCCCTCCAGGGACAGCGTGGCCAGGCAGGCTGGGGAGGGAACAGAGGGACACCGAGATGAGGCAGCACCACACCGACCTCCCAGCTCTGCCCTCCTGAGCTGCTCCCCCCGCTGTCCCGGGTCCACACATCCAAAGGCACCGGGATGTGCCCTCTGGAAGAGAGACCCTCCCCCCCTACAGTCCCCAGGGGATCTGAGCACTGATCTGGGCACTGACTGGCTGACAGGGATCCAGACTGGGGTCAGGCTCTGCCCCTTCCCTGGAGAGGAAGCAGGGCTGGGTGGACACACAGACCCCCCTGGGCAGAGCTGCAGGGCTTGCCTGGAGCCATTCCCAACACGCCTTTTTCTCCCAAATGTCTTCCAGTCCAGAATATTTTTTTCCTAAAGGCTGCATTACACTCACACAGTTTTGATGAGCCTCCAAAAAAGGAAGAGAAATCAGACTGACAATATCCAGCACCACATCAGCCCTTCTGTGTGTTACTAAACCCCCCTGAGGCAGAGTTTGTGCAAAGACACAGCCCCATGTTGAGTTGTCAGAGGAGCTGCCCTTGGCACAGACCTACAAGCAGCTGCCTTGTGGTGACCTGCACCCTTCCAAGAGCAGCTGGATCACAGTCACCCAGCTGGGAAGGCAAGAGGATCAAAGCTGCACCTCGGTGTGCACAGGCACAAGGGCACACGAACAGGGAAGTGAAACAGCAGGTCCCTCTCTGTGGGAGATCCTCAGGTTTCTATTTTCAACCCATCTTAAAGAAGTGCACTTGGAGAGGGGCTTAACCCCAGGGAGTGTCTAATGCTGGTGCCTTGGACTGCATTCCATGCAGGGCTCTCAACCTGAACAGCTTCCTAAGAGGTCTCTGCTGCTGCACAAGGGTTACCAAGAGCCTGCTGCTATGGCAGGGCCTGGCAGGTAAACAGCCTTTGTGCAGCTCAGGGGAGGACTCAGCCCTCAGCACCAGCTTTAACCCCACAGGAGCCCTTCAAAGGGGCAACCAAAGTGAGGGCAGTGGCTGAGCAGCCCTCTGTCCTCCAGCACAACCATTCCTTACAACTCTTCAGTGGGATCTCTGAAATGCTCTGTTTTTTTTTTTATTTTTATCATTTGTTCATTGCTGAACTTGGATGTATCTTTAAAAGCCATCTCATAATTCTTGCTTTTAGTTTAGGAAGGACACTTGTCACCTCTGACATGCACCCACCCCACCTCCTCCTCTGCAGGGCAAGCAGAAGCCCCTGGGTTTGCTCTGGGAGATATCTCCACCCTGCCCTGCAGCTGGAATGGAGTAAATTCCAGAGATTTCAGGCTTCATCCCGCCCATCACCACCGGGAGACAGACACAAGGAAGCAGTTTTGTTCTCCCAGAGCACCGAGGATGGGCAGGAGCCCCCCCTACCTGCCGTGTCCCGGTGCCAGACCTTCACTGTGCTGTCGCTGGAGGATGTGGCGACGCTGGGGGCGAGGGCTGGGCCCCGGGGGAGGAAAACACACGAGGTGGTGGTCTGGAAATGCCCCCTGTACTCACACACCCGGCCCCGGGTCTGTCGCAGGTCCCACAGCTGCAAGGGAACAGGAGAGCTTAGAGCCGGTATGACACTGTCAGGGGCCAGCAGGGAGCCGATGGGCACGGGAGGGAAGAGGGGGGTAGGTAAATTGCTCCTTGCCAATCCTCAATGCCCATTGCCTTTGTCCCTGCTCCTGCTCACAGTCCTGGGGAATGTCAAATCCCAAAGGATTTTCACCATCGATGACTATTTGAGCCCATAGAGCCAAGGCTGTGCAGGCAGGTAACAAGGCTCCACCCTGCTCCCATCCTCAGCCCTGCCCTCCCTGGGATGCGATGGGATGGGATGGGGATGGGATGGGATGGTCTTATCCTCTTGATCCTCACACACAGGGCTGAGAACCTGCCAATTCTAAGCTCAGTTCTGAACCCATGGGTGGCTAAATGCTCTAACCAGGTTTGGGGTCACTCGGACATTGGCACAGCCCTGTTTGTGTTGTGAGGTAGCCAAGGAAACT